CTATACAAGGAAAGTACAACCAATAAAGATACAGGAAGAGATATGATTTCCAATTAATTTGTCAACCAGACCTTAATTAGGTCCCTAATATTACGCTAATTAACAGGATGGAAAGGAGGATTGTGTTGATTGGTATCTATATTACGCTAGTTATATAACTATTTTACACTAGTTATATAGATACTCTAGGAACCCTCCTAATTTTTTTGATAATGTAAAGCTTGTATATAATCTAGAACTATCACTAGGTTGACTCATAAAATTGCTCAAAAGGTTAATTTTTTAGAGGGGAGTACTTTTGTGTAGTCTTCTCCCTAGGACTGGATGGACCTTAATGTCTTCTTTTTATTAATATTATTAAATATTTTACATATAAAAGAAATTAATGTGATAAGTATAGTGCATGTAGCATATCATAGTGCAAAGTAGTGAGACCAGTCCATTAAAGAAAGTCTTTCCCATTTAGTCCATTTGATAAAGAATATATCAATTAGTCCATTAAGCATAACTAATGGAGGTTGAATCGCCCAACTTTCATGTTGGAGGACAGCTCGGATGAATGGTGTTGAGGTTAGCAGACCGATCTACAAGAAGCAAGATATCATAGTACTCGGGGGTTTGGACTTGGACTAGGTACTTTGATGCTTAAGTTAGTAGAGATTAGTGAGCAAGAAAGCGAAGGAAGATTCTGAGAGCTAGATAGTTAGTATACACTAAATCACACGTCCCTTGTGAAGGTGTGGAGGTGCCTTTTTATAAGCCTCGGGGTCCAAGATCCATGTCAAAGATACCTTATCTTTAGGCATGTCCTATTAGCATTGGTGATGATCCTCATCCAATCCCTCTGAAGCGTGCAGGACAGGGGTCATCCTTGCCAGGTGGACGACATGCCGCTGTCTATTTCAAAAACAATAGGCGTGCTAACTAGATAAGGACAACTCGCCACATAGGTCGATACATTTAGATGGGATTTAATAGGGAAAAATGAAGATTAATAGGAGAAAAATCATACATTCAGTGAGATTTAAATAGATAATAGATTTAATGGGGTTCAAACATATAATAGATTGAGTGGAGTGAAGAGCATGGTTTTCAAAATCGGACCGGACGGGGATCGGAAAAACCGGGAACCGGTCACCTGACCAGTTCTGTTTTCCCCCATACCCGCTTTTCCCCCCAAAACCGTTGATTTTGGTCAGCAAACTGCTGAACCGGTTGGTTAACCGTTCGAACAGTTTTGACCGTTTTCCAATTTCTTTAATTTTTTGTCAGAACGGGGCCGACCATTCGGGTCGAACGGTCGGACCATTCAAACCGGTAACCAGACCCTGACCAGTTCGGTCACCGGTTCGTTTTTAAAAACCATGGTGAAGAGAGAGTAGGAAGGGATACCTTCAGAAAATGACTCCATATATCAGACTTGTTGAAGAAGGGTTTGTTGTATGCCATACCTGTAAAAGACAAGACTTATAGTTTGGTCATTGATTTGGTTAACCGAGATCAAACTGGTACGTACCTTCAATTTTTTCCAAAATGTTGAACCAAAACTGAACCGATCGATTAGGTTAACCAGATTTTTTTGTTTGTTTCATTGATTCAGTTCGGTTTTTGATAAACACCCTACTTTTGCTTTCTGGACTTTGGCTTTCAAAAGCATCAACAACCAAGAAAGAAAGCAACTTTTTGGTTTTTAAACTTTTGAAAGCTGAAAGTCCAAAAGCAAAAGCTTATCCAAATGCCACCTTTTTTTTCTGGTTCCAAGGTTCAAATAAGACAGTCTTGAAAGGGTATGACTGAAAATGGGTTTTCCTCCTATATCTATTATTATTTGGTGTATCAAAAGTGATACATATTCTAAGATATGCACCGATATGTATTAATACTTTTGAAGAGAGAGGCTGGACAAGAGGAACCTGACTTGGCTTTATAGCTAGGCTTACTTAAAACATAAACAAGTGATGGGTTGTTGTAAGAAGGCTTCTCAAAACGCAAGTTATCTCAACTCTCATATAAACAATATAGTTACATTATATTATTATATGAAAAACTGGCATAAACCATTGTCTTTTCTCTTTCATGGGCCACTTAAATGGAAACCTTAACAAGGCAGCCAGGATATAAGAGGACACAACCATCATATCCATTTTAATTTCTCAAACAATTGAACTCAGACTTGACTGAAATGCAACTCTTGTCTAGCACCAGTAAAGTTTAAAGTCTAACAAATAATGCTATTAAATGCCCAATGCTTTAGTACGTAGGTCTTATGTTGTATAGGTTGGGGGAACTTTTGCTGAATTTTGATATTGCATGAGCTCAAAGCGCAGCTCCAGCCAATTGCAATCAGAGTAAGATCCATATTATTCGAGGCCAGCCGAAACCTGCATCCCTATTCACTCACTAGCATGGCTAATGGAGACTAGCTACTGGGTATTACTGTTTACTGGGTTTTGGGATTTAATAGTTAATCAAAACTCTCTACTTGAACGTGGGAATGCAGAGGATCTAAATCTCATTTTTGGCCTTATTTTCCTTGGATTTAGAAACTGCCATAAAGCTCAGTTTGGAAGGAGTATAAATGCAAATATATAGTGTAAAACCTTGTATTTTGTATTATTTTGTATTTGTATTTTTTTCCAAACTGAGCCAAAATACCTTTCTCTCAGATTGGATGACTTCTTTTCCAAAGACGAGTTCACATCAGCCCCCATCCAATCCGATCATATTCGAATATACCATGATTCGAATCCAATCTTATCTGTTTGCATCCCTAACTACCTAGCGAGTTTTTCATCAAACATAGCTTCACATCTTTCTATGTGAATCTAGGGGCTAGGGCTGCAACTTGAATGAACTCAGGTTGGGCTTTTGCCAAAATTTGAATGGGCCTTGTCCAAAACATTGTAAAATGTTAACTCGGGCCAAACCAAGTTGCACCCCTCTGTGAAGCCTACCTTGTAATGCCAAAAGCTACTGTCAAAAATTCCTTCCAAATGGGTAGATAAGGTAGAAGCATAATTACATTAAATGTGAGGCAGGAATAGGGGTGTAATCGAGTCGAGTCAAGCAAAGTATCGGGTTGCTCAAGCTTGAGCTCGGTTGAATTTCATGAGTTTCATGTATTTGGCTCAAACTTGACTTGAGTCGATACTCACGAGCTACTCAAGCTTGACTCAACTTGAGCCAATTACATACAAATTAGTTTTGAAAATTATAAATAAATTCATATTAAGTATATTAAAAATATTTATAATAAAAATATATTAAAAATTATAGATAAATTAATATTATAAAGAACATAAATAAAAATATATTATGAAAATCAATTATACTAACATCTATCTATAACTTTCTAAGTCAACGGCAACTTAAAACTTGATTTTTGATCATATAATCTTAATAAGAATAACAATAAAATGGTAAATTGTTTTAACCTAACTAAGAAACCTTTATATAACCTTAATAAATATGCTAGTAAATCAAGTGCTTGTAACCAAAATTATCTTATATTTTATCTATCAAATTTACCCTTATAGACATAAAATATAATAAAAATTACAAAATAAAAACTAAAAACCCTTATATATTATTGACTGAATAATCGATTCAAAACAAACAAGAACCAGAACCAACCCAATCATTAATCAAGATAAAATCACAGAACTAAAAATTACAAAATAAAAACTAAAAACACTTTTATATATATTATCAACTCAATAATCAATTCAAAACTAATAAGAACCAGAACCAATCCGATTATTAATCCAGACAAAATCACATAACTACAACTGATACAATCCGATCAATTTAATCCGGTAGAACCGACCCATAGACAGCCCTAAAGTGCCTAGCTATTTCTAATTTCCGTATGAGTATGACTAATCTATCTCACTTGCTAGCCTGTTCTAAGGCTGTGGACGCAGGCAAGCAGGCAACCCACGTTGGAGGAAAAGTGGGTTGCACGTTGGGCTGGATGTGATTATGCCACAGATATCGCCTCTTTCTTCTCCACCCATAGTTGGTTGCACATGGCACACCCAAGGCCTAGCGTCTAATCGTTTAAAAGAATGTTCCTTTTCTTTCTGGCCCTTGTCTCAAGCACCCTAGCACCAAGGGAAAAACTCAACTTGGTAACGTACCCTACCCACGCCATCTTTTCCTACACAAAAGTCATCTTTTGGATGTAATTCCGATGATTGATTGGGTCCGGTTGAAGGTTAAGCCCATTATATATCCCAAACCTTATATGCTCGGGCATACCTCAACCCAAGATTAAGTCCAAATTTATCGATCCAAGACACACCCAATCTTAATCCAAACAATTTGGGTTGGGCTTAATTGACCATTGGCAGATAAGTCAGATGCGAGAGAATAAAAATAACACATACCGAAAGAGATTTGACCAATCAAAACCCACCCTTGAATTTTAACAAATTCCACCTCATTGGTTAAAATACTATTTCATTGATCACAAATTTTTTGGTTATCACACCTTTCCAGTGTTATAGTTGAACCCTATATGGAACCAGGCTTGAATAATCCGAAACCACAACCAGCGCAACCCAAGTTTAAGCCATGCCCAAGTCCTGCCAGCAAGACCAGCCCATGTTGCAACCTTAATTGAACTCATAGATTACACTAGTAGTTTACAAACAGAGTTAGGATTTGCTCCTCACAAGCGCACCTCACACCCATCTCACGGCCACGTCTCATAGAATCTCCCCATGAAATGATAAGTTTGGGAGATGGCTGGAACATGCTGTGGGGTGGGTATGAGGAGTGAACGTGAGGAGCAGATCTGAACTCTTCACACAAGATTCTTCTCCTTCCGTGAAATTTTCTGAGTATGATAAGATGTACGAACGTTCTTGTCATAACGTGGACTGCGTAGTTGCGTCAAACGGACTCCAACGTCCCAGTCCACGCAAAAATGCTATTTGACAGAATATAAATAGCACTGATCCTTCATCACTTCTTTCACAACTCATTCCACCCAGAAACTTCCCATCTCTCTCTCTGTAACAGTCAAGAGAATGGCCACGGCCAATCTCGTAACTTGTTTTCTCTCCATTCTCTTGATGATGATGCTCTTTTCTTCCTCACTTGCATTCATCAATGTAGTAACCCTGGGAGCCAAACCGGACGGAAAAACAGACGCCACCAGCTCATTCCTCAAAGCATGGACCTTGGCTTGCAGCTCAGTCAATCCTCAGACAATCTACATTCCCACCGGAAACTTCCTCATCAAACCTGCAGTGTTTAGAGGCCCATGTAAGAACAGAATGGTTGTTCGGATCGACGGAACCCTCCTCGCCCCTTCCGACTATCGCGTCCTCGGCAGTTCAACCAATTGGCTTCTTTTCGTTAAGATTACCGGACTGTCGGTCATCGGCGGCACCCTTAATGCACAAGGTGCCACCTACTGGGCTTGCAAGAATGCCGGCAAGAGTTGCCCGGCCGGAGCAAGGGTTAGTGGTTCATTTCCTCGCTTTTTAGACTGCGTACGTGTATCTCTCTATCTCTCTAACGTCGTATTGTCATAATGTTCATGCAGTCGATAACGTTCAATTATGCAGATAATGTTGTGATCAATGGCTTGACGTCGATCAACAGCCAGCTAACGCACGTCGTCATTAACAGATGCAACAATGTAATGGTTAAAGGGGTGAAGATCGTCGCACCTGATCAGAGTCCCAATACCGACGGCATACACGTTCAGTTCTCATCCGGCGTGACGATCACCAGCTCGAGCATTAAGACCGGCGACGATTGTGTATCAATTGGTCCAGGCGCCAAGAACCTATTGATCGATCGAGTTAGCTGTGGGCCCGGACATGGCATCAGGTAACCACGGACGAGTGACGACCATTAAGATATTCTATATGGATGGCTATGATTGATCTATCGTGTTAATGTGAGTGGTTTTGTGCTATTTGCAGCATCGGTAGTCTGGGTAAGGGTGCGAATGAACAAGGAGTGCAGAATGTGACGGTCAAGAATTCTGTACTCACCGGAACTGATAACGGGTTACGGATAAAGTCGTGGGCCAGACCCAGTACCGGATTCGTGACTGGCGTTCTTTATCGGAACATCGTCATGAACAAGGTCAAGAATCCGATCATAATAGATCAGAACTACTGCCCCAGCAACAATTGCCCTAACCAGGTAATTATTCAGAAATGATTTCCACATATATGATTTCAAACATGGACGGTCCTGATCTATTAGTTTGGTGGGCCACAGACCCTAGGTCCATCACAACATCACAATTGATCAGAAGGAGCAATGAACTTTTTGGGTTGAGGCCAGAATTAATGTTACTAGGACCTGACCCGGTTAGATCATATTATTAATTAGGTGGTGCTACAACATGGTAGATTCAAATTTGGTTCGTTTATATTCGCATTATCCATTGGATTAAAACTTGGATGGCAAATGATATTAAATAGCATTAATAAATTAACTAAAAACGATTATTAGGGGAAATATATGATACAACATGGTATCACAAGAGATTTGACCAATTAAAGCACATGATGAATTTTGATGAATACCTTCTGATTGGCAACCTTTTGTGTGATACCATTTGATTGACTGTAAGTTTTTTTTTTCAGTATCATAGACCAACTTATATATTATTAATAAAATGAACTAAAATGACTTTGATAATAGGGTTTGATTATGATACCGAAAAGTTATATACTAAAAAAACTTATGATCAATCAAACGGTATAAAAACAGTGGTAACTGCTGTGTTTGGCATTGATGTTGTTGTTCCATAAAACATGGACACATCAGCATTATGTTGGAAAAATCGGTGCTCTAGAAAATAATAATATGTTTGGAACTGTTTTTTCATAAAAATGGTACTTCAAATGGGTACTAGTGCTGAAAACGTCGAATTCAACATTTTCTCAATTTAGGGCTCATTGTTGCCAACAATGACATAATGTGGCAGTGACGTGGACTTTCTATAATGGGTACTAGTGCTGAAAACAGATATGGAGTACTGATACCAAACAAAAGGTATTGTTGTTGCCCCAGGAAATGTCCTACCTGGAAGTAACACTTTCAAATAGAAAAAGACACTGTTTTCTCATAAAACGGTGTTGTATATGCAGCACCGATGCCAAACATATACATAAAAAAATTATAATCAAATAGGCATGCTTTCAAAAAAAATTAGGCTAAGTTTGAAAGGAGTACAAATGAAAATATGTAGTGCAAAACCTTATACTTTGTATTATTTTGTATGTATTTTTGTTGTGCATATTTGCATTTGTACTTTTTCCAATCTCAATTTGGAAGGAGTACAAATACAAATATGTAGAGTGCAAGACCTTGAATTTTATATCATTTTGTATGTATTTGTACTGTACATATTTGTGTTTATACTCTTTCCAATTTGAGCCTTAGGGGGGATTTTGATTGGTCAAATCCTTTTTGGTATCATATCCTTTCAGCATCAAAGATTATTTTTATATTTGGTAAACAAAATGAATCCACAATAAATTGTATGAAACTTAAATTGCTCAAGAACAATTCAGTATATATATATGGGAAAATTCCCAATCAGTACCCTATACTTTGGCTCGAGTGACAATTTAGTTCCCGAACTTTAAACTGTGACAATCCAATACCCAAATCATATTTAAATTTAAATTTGAACAAAGGGATACTGTTTGTAGAGCTAGCAAATAATGCTAATTAAGGGCTGCAATTTTTCATCTTAGAGTTCTGGTGTGAAAATCAAGGAGGTGACATACCAGAATATCCAAGGAACATCAACCACACAGGTTGCCGTGAATTTTGAGTGCAGTTCGAGTAACCCGTGCCGAGGAATCAGATTACAGGGCGTGAAGCTTACCTATGTCAATGGAATAGCCACGTCATCTTGTTCAAACGCCGGTGGAACCGCTGTCGGGGTAAACACTCTGAAGAGCTGTCTATAATGATCAATTAGAAGTTAGAACTATCGGGGTAAACACGTCATCTTGCAGTTGTTGTTGTAGTTGTAGTATACTCTATCAATCCATGTAAAATGATGGTCCTTGTTATTGAAATGACCAATTAGAACTCTTCTTATTGGTAAAACGTAAGCTGCAATTCCAAATTTCTAGTTTTCTCTTCTTTTCCTTATGTTCTTGTTCATCTCCAAATACCCCCGATAGTTTAGAACTTGATGAGGCCAGATTTGACCCTCCAATGATATTGTGACACATGGTACCTTGGAACAAATAGGTGACACCCGAAACCACTTAGGCAACAGCTTGCCTTAGCCAAGTTGATGGTGTCCCACCTGGCGGTTTGGCCCAGGCGCGACCTAGCGGCCTGGCACAGGCGCGACCTGGCGGCCTGGCCCAAGCGCAACCCGGCCTGGCTCGACTTGGCAGCCTGCCCCAGGTGCGAATTGGCAACCTGGCATAGGCGCGAGCTGCCAGCCTGGCCCTGGCGCGACCTGGCGGTCTGGCCCAGGCGTGAC